CTTAGCCTTAATTAATTTCCTTGGCTATGAAGGGTCTTTCTTTAAGATTCCTTCTTTCTTGATTTCTCCTAGGGGGATTCTTGGAACTTCTTGTGTGGTGAGAGATTATTGTGGTGTGTGTTCTTGGTGTCTCCTATGCCCCCTATTTATATACCTAAGAGTCCCTAATTAGGGTTAGTTCTATTCCTTCTAGAACTAGGGGATTGGGTTTAGGGATAAGGGCCCATGGACTATGGTGGGCCTTTTCTTAATTAATTATTGCAATTTAGTCCTTTCTTTTGGGTAATTGATTAAATGATTAATTGGTTTTACGGGCCGTAACACGGGGTGTTACAGTCATACTGTAGGTTAGTTAGAAAGTGGTTACGAGTAGTTAGCTGTTTGTTGTATTTTCTCCCTCTTGTATATAAAGGTCAAGCTCCCAGGCTTCCTTTTGTAACAAAATCAATTCAGTTCTTCAATCAAACAATTCTCTCCTCTTCTTTCACTGTGTCTTTTTCATGTTAAACAGCAGAACAGGGATAGGGAAAAAAAAAAGTGCACTTTTATGATATTAACATCTCAAATTATTTAGAGTAAAAAAAAAAAAAAAAAAAACACATCTCAAATTATTTAAAAATTAAACTTATCCTACTATTATAACTCAAAAATTAAAAAAAAAAAATCGGTTTCCTTTAAAAACCATTATACACTAATGTATTATTAAATTATCGTCACCCCAATGCACTTACCCATTGTTAGCTATATATTTCGTTAAGGTTTACCTAAAAGCATCCCCAAGAGTGATGTTTTTAGGAGTTATTTCTGATGTAAAAATAGGGAATGGATTTTTCAACAATTGGGGGTGTGGGGCTTTTTCAAATTTTTTTCTCCTGCAAGATGGGATAGGGGAGGGGGGTAATAAGGGCCAAATATGGTATATTTGTGGGCTTTTCTAGAGGCAATTTGTGTTATAATTGTGTCCTTTGAGCTAATTTTATGCATTGAATAAGCTTAATTTGCTTAATTTGAGAATAATGACTGAGTGTGGGTGCATTTGTGCATTTTTAGGGGAATGGAGACATATTGTTGTGGGCACGGGAATCAACAATTGGTTGTTATAATATTGAAATATTTTAGAATTAGTTTTATTACTTAATTAGGATAATTATCTTAAATTATTTTAGATTTAATTTGTTAGTATTATATTATTATTAATGTTTATCTCAGTTTGTTAGTTAGGATTAGTTTATCCTATTTTTAATAACTATCTCATTTATGTGGTTGTAATTTGCTTGTTAATGGTTATTTAAAGTCATTGCAGGCCAAATGAAAAATAGAGTTGAGAATTTTTGAATTAGAAAACTGATTGTTTTCTGGAACTCGGAATGAGTTCGGCCGTGAGTTGGTCATGGCAAACCTGACTTATCAAGTGCACAACCACACTTGTGGCGTCATTCCAAATCCTACGTATCACCGTATAACCCGGTGTTGTCGAGGACTTATCAAAAATACAAAAACAAACCCTTATACCCAGCCTAAATTAAACCTTTTAATTAGATTTCACCTAGCCTAATAAACTGTTCTGAAAAATTATTTTAGTCAGAGTGTGAAGAGAAGATCAGGTCAACCAAGTTCGCATCATTTGGTATCAGAGCACACGGTTGTCTCTTCGCGAAGACTCATGAAGCTTCAATAGTGCCTGGAACGTGGATTCGAGGACGAATCCCTCTAAAGGGAGAGGGAATGTTGTGGGCACGGGAATCAACAATTGGTTGTTATAATATTGGAATATTTTAGAATTAGTTTTATTATTTAATTAGGATAATTATCTTAAATTATTTTAGATTTAATTTGTTAGTATTATATTATTATTAATGTTTATCTCAGTTTGTTAGTTAGGATTAGTTTATCCTATTTTTAATAACTATCTCATTTATGTGGTTGTAATTTGCTTGTTAATGGCTATTTAAAGTCATTGCAGGCCAAATGAAAAATAGAGTTAAGAATTTTTGAGATAGGAAACAGAGTGTTTTCTAGAACTCGGGAGAGTTCGACCATGATCAAGTCACTTGATCATGGTGATCCTGACTTATCAAGTGTGAAACTTCACTTGTGGCGTCGTCCCAATTCCTACGTATCACCGTATAACCCGGTGTGGCCGAGGACTTATCAAAAATAAAAAAAAACAAACCCTTATACCCAACCTAAATTAAACCTTGTAATTAGATTTCACCTAGCCTAATAAACTGTTCTGAAAAATTATTTTAGTCAGAGTGTGAAGCGAAGATCGGGTCAACCAGGTTCGCATCACATATCAAGGGAATTTTGATCATTTTGGAGCTCAAAAGGAAGAGGAGTCCAACTCAACTAGATGTACGAGCTCTATATGCTCATAGAAGGGTCATGCAGCGAGAGATAGAAAGTTATACGCCTATCTATACGAGCATACGAAGAGAGATCATGGCAGATGTAGAAAGTTGTACGAGTGTCTGTACGCTTGGCTTGTACATCCCCGCGTACAAGCATGTCCATAAAGTTGCACTCTTGGAAGTATGAGCATACATGAGAAGAATCGGCAAAGCAAGCCGCGTACGATCGTTTGTACATACGCTTGTATGTTGGCTAGCTTGTACAACTGGCTCCGAAGGGCAATTTTGTTTCTTCATATTTTTTTTTGTTATTTTTTCGATTTCAACCGGTTTAGAACTTTACTAAAAATCGATTGAAAAATATGGTTACTAAAAATCAAAGGTTACCTAAAGTTCTAAACCAATTAAATCAGAGATTACCTAAAGTTCTTAAAAAAAAATAATAATAATACTCTAAGATGTTAAATTGCAAAAACGATAATCGGTGACTAAATTTGAAACTACTACCAAAGACAAGTGATATATGGTGGAATTCAAAAATATATACTAAGGCGAATTTTAGGACCACAAAAAAAAAAATTAAAAATTAAAAAAAAAATCAGTAACACTATCTTTACGACTCTACCCATGCAATTTCCTCTCATTTTCAAAATGTCACATCACTCACTAAATTTGTAATTATTCATTATTTACTCTACATTCATACAATTATCTCTCATCTTTAAAAAAAATGGTCCTACTATCATCACTTTATTAAAAAATTTATTTATTTATTAATAAAGTATTAATAACAATTAAAATAATAATAAAAGTAAAAATAAAAATAATAATAATCAAAGCAATTCTGACACCAAAATTGCAACACGCAAACATCAAAAGAAATATAAAAAATCCACCTAAGCTTTGCAATTGGCCTCCTTTCACCGCTGCGGATAGCCTATGAGGCTATGATTGCTCAAGAATATGATGCGGCTCTGTACATATGTACATGCACTTCTGGCTGGAATAGTGGCATATAGTACAAACGTATGACACGGGCTAGAACTTTAATCAAGTGTATGTACTGAAGTGATAGCAATTGGTACCAAGTAACTTATTTTTGCTCCTATAATTATTACTTTCTCATATTTGATGTGTTTGATTTCACTCACGAATGCGGGTAATGCTTCTCATGCGGTTGACGCACCTTAAGCATTAACATGACGCACCAAATACACATGTAACTCACGCACCTTAAGCACACAAACAAAGCACCTTAAGAACACAAACCACTTACCTTAAGTATACAAATCACGCACCTTAAGTACACAACAAAGCACCTTAAGAATACAAACCACGCACCTAAGGTTTTAAAATGGCTCACCTTAAGTTTCACACAACTGACGCACTTAAAGCATACAAATCACGCACCTTAAGAAGGAAAACAACGCACCTTAAGAAGAAAAACTGCGCACCTTAAGTTTGAACAACTACTCACACATTAAGCACAGAACTCATGCACCTTACACTACAAGAAAAATCGCGAATCGCGACGGAAAAATTCCGTCGCGAAACAGCTAAATTCCGTCGCGAATCACGTTTTGCGACGAAATTGCGACGAAATCTGTTCCGTCGTCTATCAGCTTGTCGTATTTTTATTCGCGACGGAATAATTCCGTCGCAAAATATGGCGACGGAATTGGCAACGGAATAAGGCGTCGCAAATTTACGACGGAATTGTTCCGTCGCAATTCCGTCGCATTTTGACAACGGAAATTATTCTTTCCGTCGCCATTTTAAAAACAAATATTCCGTCGCCATATTTCTTTTCCGTCGTAATTCCGTCGCAAAACTTATATTCTATCGCAATTTTGTCACATTTTTAATTATTATTTTTTTAAAAAAATTGTTTATAATTATTATTTTTGAATAGTAATATAAACTTTTAAAATATTAATCTAAAACTAAAATAACATACTAAAACACAATTAATTCTAAAAAAATAACATAATTCTAAAATATTATTAATCAACATTTAGTAACTAATAATAATACATCACCAATCCACATTTAGCAACTAATAATAATCAATTAAAGTCTGGACAACAAATCGCTATACATGTAATGAAAATCTATAGCCAAGAAATAGTAAACTAAAAAACAATATCCAATGCTCATTTATCCTACGTAGCAGTCACTGTAGTAGTTAACCCTTTGAACTTAGGCAAGTGTACTCCAAGTCGCTGATAAACCTTCTTTCCAAATTCTCTTCGACTAATTTCAAAAATCTGTGACCATGCTTTTGTGTACTTCTCCTCCCCGCCCTAGTTACAAAGAAAGAATGCAACACAAGAACCATTACCAAAATAAATCTCTAACTGCATAGTAGGAAAGTTGAAACAATCTTTCAATTAATAAAAGAATAACAAGTTGACTTGTGTGGTCACAGTTATGAAAAATACAGAAACCACCTGTGCCTAATGTAACTCTCTACTATGAGAGTTTCTTCTCTGTTGGGAAAAAGGAATGCTTATTCAGTAGTTTCTGCAAGTTGCCAAGCTCTTTCAATAATATGATGTATCTATTGAGTTTAGACCATTCAACTGTTTAAAATAAGTAAAAAGTTCACCTGAAGACTGACTACAGCATTTTGTGCCCTCTCCTTGAAATCAGGATCACTATCAAATCCTTGTTTTTAAAGCCTTATAAAATGCCTAAAAAGGTTAGCGTGGTTAAAGGATCACTATCATTTTTCTTTGATTAATGTCGTGCTCATTAAATACACTGAAAATTATCGGATCTGGTTGTACATATGTAAGCAAAGCTGGAATCTTGATTGGGATGTTAAATAGTTAGAAGAAATATGGTAATATACATCAGATCTTATCTAATGAACTTTATTAAAACAAAAAAAAAGCAAAAAAAAAAAAAAAAAAAAAAAAAAAAAAGGAACAAAAAAAATAGGACTTTATTTGGGACAGTAGAAATCTTCAGTTCATTTTTGTGTATTCAAAAATATGGTTTGAAAGCCTTATCAAATCTATCAAATCAATAAAGGAAGTTTCTGGCATTATAAATCATAGTCAATCAGCTAGAAACAGAACAAACTAACCAAAGTATCACCACTTACCTCTAAATCTCCAATAGCATGAGGACTAGCGGCTTCCCAGTTTGGAAATTTTTCAAAAAGGTATTCAATTAGCATACCAAACTACAAAACCATATTAAAACTCAGAATTAATTTCAAATAGAATAGAAATAGAATTTAAAACCATATTCTCTTATGGAGGAAGATTGTTCATAATAGCCTGAAAATGAGAAACCATTTGATTGTCTAAGGATATTGATGTCCACTGTGTTGGTTGAAACAGAATTGTGATAAGCACAACAAAAATCAATGCCATTACCTGTCCAACAAGTTGAGGACCCTTGAACTGAGTACCCTTCCCTTTAATTTTAAGCCCATAAGCTCATGAGAAGTTGGTCAAGTTGGGAAATGTTTTCTGTTTAGTAGTGGAAAATGTTTTCTGTTTTCCTTTTACAAAAAATCTGTTTTCCTTAGTGGAAATGAATACATATACACAAAAAATCTGACCAATAACTAATTAAATATTTCAAATCTAAACAGTCAGATGAAGAGAAAGAACGGAGATTGAAGACATATCTAGTAAAACAGAGAAAATTGCAACATACCCGAAGTCGGTGATCCCCCAACAATCCTTACACTGAGTATATGCTCATCATCATCAAGAAGCTCCAACCTTTCTGTGCTTGTTGTGGCAGGAAGGCCCGACTTGACATCAACTTCTCTAAGACTACCAATCTCAAGACTTCCCTGACTAATGCACCTGCTGATAAAGGGCTTGTATTTCTGTGGCTGATCAAACCTCCTAACCAATGACCAAACCTGTTAAGACCAAGAATCTCCCTATTCTTAAAATGGGCAATCCCTATGAAATCAATATATAATTATTATATCACCATATAAGTGGCCACAAAACTAGGAAATATGTCATATACAGTCAAGTATCTACAAGGAAAAAAAAAAACATGAATGATGGTCAGACCAAGTTACAGTCCATAAATCAAACAGCTTCTATTCATTCACACATTTTACCATCCTGTTTCCATTCTTAATATGCACTCCACTTGTGAGAAAATCTCATCATAAACACAAAAATGGAAGCAAACATTGGGTTAAGTAGATGCTAAAGTTGAACAGTCATACAACACAAATCTAACTGAAAACTAGAAATTGAACAGTCATACAACCAGTCAAAAGTCTAAAATTGCTAGAGACGTGGAATGAAATCAACAAATCATCCGAAAATTCACGAATCAGAACTGAACATTGCGGAAAAAAGAAAAAATTCATCAACAATATTAGAAGTTGGTCAAGTTGATCTATGGCTTGCTTAGAAGTTGGTCTATGGTGTAATTAGTAATTAAAAACTCTTTAATTGGCTCTCAGTTTATGACCTTCTAAGATTTTTCCCAATTTCTTTCAAGCAATAGCAATTACCAATGGCGGACCAGCCTAGCAGAGCTCTGGTGCTGTACGGTGACAGAATAGCTTGACAAAAACAAGTAAATTACTTGAAATGGCAGACCAGACAAAAACAAAATAATGCAGAGATAGAGTAAAACAAGTAAATTGAACTGAAAAAAACTGAAACAAGTAAAACAAAATAATGTTTCGAAGCATTTGAAATGCAGAGATAGAGCAATCAAGAACATTGGTTTTCCCCAAACAAGTAAATTGAACTGAAAAAAAAAATTGCTAGAGAAATATGTTAAACAATTACTAGTCACAAATGGAGGAGGAGGCTGCACGGCTACGGAGGAGGAGGAGGCTGCACGGCTGCCCGGCGATGGCGTTCTGCGGCGTTCTGCACGGCGATGGCGTTCTGCGGCGTTCTGCATGGCGATGGAGTTCAGCGTGGAGTGTTCTACTTCTGAGAGATGTTTGCACTTAGGGTTACAAAATTTTATTTTATTTTTAATTTTATACTCAAAACGCCATGTTTAAGTAAAAGAAAAATAAAATTTAATAAAACTATTTTGCGACGGAATATAGGTGGTCGCAATTTCCGTCGCCATATTTAGTCCATAATCTAAAACTTAATTCATTTAAGGACGGAATCAAGTCGGTCGCTAATTCCGTCGCCATTTCGCGACGGAACACAAATCGGTCGCTTTTTCCGTCGCAACATGGACGACGTAAATTACTTCCATCGCAAATTCGGTCGCGAAAATTTGCCGCCAATATTTCGCGGGCTTTATTTTATCTTTGCGCCAAGATTCGCAACGGAATAAAATTCCGTCGCCTATTCCGTCGCAATTTCGCAACGGAATGCATTCGGTCGCTAAATGGCTACGGAATATAGTCCGTCGCGATTTTCCATCGCGATTCGCGATTTTTCTTGTAGTGTTAAGCATATAACACATGTACCTTAAGCACAAAACTTACGCACCTTAAGTTTCAACAACTACTCACATTAAGCACACAACTCACGCACCTTAAATTTGACCTAGATGCAAAAATTACCAAATTTCCACTGCATTTTTTTTTTTAAATTTTGGTAATCCTGGACGTTGATTTAAGCAAGATTACTGGGTCAGATTTAATCGCACAACCGCACCTAGGCGCACCAACCGCACCGGAAGCTAAGGCTCTGGTGCCAAGAAGGTCTCAGGTACAAAAGTGAAGAGAAATCTACACGATGTAATCTTCTCTAGTAAATCATCACTGATCTTTTGTCTTTGCATTTTGTTCAAATCATGGAAGGCACAAAATTGTCTCTAGGAAGGCACACAGTGTACATTAGAAAGCACAACAATGTGTTCTAGAAGGCTCAACAATGCGCACTCCAAGGCAAAACAATATGCACTTCGAAGGTACAACAATGTGCTTTGGACGGCTCAACAATGTGCTCTGAAAGGCTCAACAATGTATACTCTAAGGCAAAACAATATGGACTTCGAATGAACAACAATGTTTTCTGAAAGGCACAACAATATACTCTGGAAGGCTCAACAATGTTCTCTGGAAAGGTGAACAATGTGCACAGGAAGACACATTAGTGTGCTATGAAAGGTACATCAGTGTGCTCTGAAAGGCACATCAATGTGCTCTGGAAGGCACAATATTGTGCTCTGAAGGGTACAACAATGCGCTCTGCAAGAAGGAAAAAAAATATTTTGAAAGACAAAAAAAAATTAACTTACAAAAAATAACCATAATGCCATCACATTTTTTAAAAAATAGCTTCATTCTGGACCCTTGATCTAAACCGGATCAATGGATGAGATTAAACCCTATTTTTCACCTAAGGAAAACTTTTCGCCTGATCCGTTATATATATGGCTTAGGTTCTGGTGCGGTGAATACCACAGGTGAAACGTGCGGTGGAATCTTAGCCATAGATCAACTCCTCCTTTATAAAAAAAAAAAAAAAAAATCGCCACATACGATCTATAACAATGTGCACTGAAAGACACAACAATGTGCTCTGGAAGGCATAACAATATGCACTGAAATACAAAAATATGCACTGTAAGCTACAAAAATATGCAACAACTATTGAAAATATTAAATTTAATACATGATCTTCAACACAATTCATAAAATATCAGAATATTCAGCTAGAATTAGTAATTAATGATTCATTCAAGATCAAATGCTCTTTAAAAAAAAAATATATGTACTTCCTCCGTCCCATTTATATGTCTGGTTCGGTTAATGAGGCTTGACTGAAGTTACTTTTAATTCAATTTTGCATAATATTAAGTTTAGTATTAATATACAAAATTTATATATTTAGAAACTACATTAAAACTAGGGAAAATTGTAATTTATGCCCCTCACAAATATGTCAATTATCAATGTTACCCCTGAATTATTAGTGGTGTAAATGTTGCCCCTCAATTTTCAAAATGTGACATATATTGCCCCTCTCCTGAATTATTAGTGATGTAAATGTGGTTACGCATCGTCTTTCTTGTTCAAAGACCACGTTTTTTTCCTCAATTTTTCTTTCTTCGCTTGTTCTCCTTCCGTCGACAACAAATTTTCTCCTTCCTCATATTAGGGGAGGGGCAATATATGTCACGTTTTGAAAATTGAGGGGCAACATTTACACCACTGATAATTCAGGGGTGACATTGATAATTGACATATTTGTGATGGGCATAAATTACAATTTTCCCTTAAAACTATTATTAAACACAACAAATCAAATTTAAAAATACGTAAAAACAATAATAAAGAAAATAAACAAAGAAAAAAGACTCGGTTTGACCAATGAATAGTAAGTAACACAGACAAAATGAGACAGAGAGAGTATAACACCTACGATCTTAAAACTCGAAAGCACAACAATGTGCTCTGGAAGAAGGAACAATGTGCACTGGAACTCTAGAAAGGCAAAAATGTCTATGGTAAGGTAGAAAATATGAAATAATTATTGAAAAGACTAAATTTAATGCATGATCTTCAACACAAATTATAAATGATCACAATATTCAACTAAAATTAGTAATTAGTTTTTTGAATGTTACTGGCTCTATTACATTGTAGTATCTGTTCATATACTTTCTCAACCTACTGAAAAACATAAAGAACCAATAACACCTCCACTGAAGCTCAAACTCATAATCTTCCAAATGGAAGTCCAACCTGGGTACCATTAGACCACATAATCCTGGTAAAGTTAGTAATTAGTTATTCATTCAAGATCAAATGTTCTTTAATATATATATATATATATATATATATATATATATATATATTTATATATATATATATATATATATATACATAACACCTATCAGCTTTCAAAAAATATAACACCTACGATCTTAAATCTTGAAGGCAAAACAATATGCACTACAAAGCACAAGAATGTGTTCTAGAAGAAGGGACAATATGCAATGGAAATCTGGAAAGGCAAAAATATGCATTGTAAGGTAAAAAATTATGGAATAATTATTGAAAAGACTAAATGTAATGCTTGGCCTACAACATAAATCATAAACGATCACATTATTCAACTAAAATTAGTAATTAGTGATTCATTCAAGATCAAATGATCTTTATACACACACACACACACACACACACACACACACACACACACACACACACATATATATATATATATATGTATATATATATATGTATATATATATATATATATGTATATATATAATTATATATATATGTATATATATATATATATATATATATATATGTATATATATATATGTATATATATATATATATATATGCATATGTATATGTATATATATATATATATATATATATATATATATGTATACATATATATATATATATATATACATATATATATATATACATACATACATACATATACATATATATATATATATATATATACATATATATATATATATATATATACATACATATATATAACACCTACGATCTAAAAACTGAAGGCACAACAATGTGCTCTGGAATGATAAACAATGTGTTGACGAACAATGTCGAAATCTCAATAATAATCCTACGAAAAGATTATTAATTTCTTGAAAAACTGGAAATATCTGGGAAAGATAACAATGGGGTCGGAGGGAAGAAATGTGAGGTTTTTAGTACGAGTCGAGCGAAGCACTCTTTCCTTAAAACCTTATTTTCGACCTCTCAAAAGAGCTAGGAGCGTTGTAGCCTAGGCTTCCCAGGATAAAACGTACTACGGTGGGAGGACAACACG